TAAGCCCCGAGCCACCTCTGGCAGCCCTTGCCCACCTCAGCCCATCCCTTGCTATCCAGGGCCAGCACCAGCGCATGTCTCAAGGCCCAGTATACCCATTTAACTGGGGATTTAATTGTGGGGGCTCACCTGTGTGACCTGGGGCAGCCCACCGGAGTCAGCCATCTGCAGAAAGAAGGTCCTGCTTAGTCTGGGAAGGTGCCTTTGCCACCCAACCCACTGGGAGGATTCCATTGCTGGGGCCACCCTGCCCTCCCCGCCCACCACCAGTCCCATGGCCAGGACGGACCTGGAATGGGGAGATGGGGACAGCCTGCAGCTCTGGGGCAGAGGACAATGAGGCACTTCATGGGCAACGGGGACCAGCTGGCTGCCCCCTGCCATCCGCCTACCTTCAGGAAGGTGGTGATGGTGGGATCCAGCTTGGAGTTACACTCCACCTGTGGGTGAGAGGGATGATATTAGCACCCTGGGGTGCCCTGAGCCTGGCTGCCCTTTTTTTTGGGTCCAGCCACTGGCACGTGGCCCAACACTTGGCACATCCCACCCCAGCTGGGTGGAAACAAGGTGAGCCCTGGGCCCACAGAACCACCGTCCCTCGCCATGGGACAGGGGGACCTTCCTCCTGCCAGGCAGTGTCTGGGCAAGGGGGGGGGCTGGAAAGGGAGGAGAGGGGGGCTGGTGAGGCATCCTGTGTGTCCCACACGTGTACAAGCACACAGAGGTGCTCATGTGCATATGCCTAGGGGTACACATGCTGGAGGAGAGGGTGGGTGATGCAGTTACACATTATGGACAAAGGTGGCCACCTGCACAGTACCTGTGGCTGATTTTGCAAGTGTGGACAACCCTGTGGACGTGTGCGAGCACATGCGTGTGCTAGCAGCTGTTTGTGGCCAAGCAAAGAGTGTGCCCGAGTGCTGACACATCTGAGTGTGCACCTGAGTGCTGACACATCTGAGTGTGCACCTTGGGAGCACCTCTGGGCATATGAGGAAGGGGAGGTTTTCCAGGTGTGGCAACCTTGCACAGATGCACATGCACACGTGTCCACATGAGCATGCTCCTGCACACAGGAGCTCACGTGTGTCTGAGCAGGCAGTGAACATGAGCATGCCCATGCGTGGGCACGGTCTGCGTGCCACCCCGCAGGAACTACACCATCACTCACCACCCCCTCTTCAGCAGGCGCATTGTCTCCCACCACCAACATCACGGGGCAGCTGGAAGTGAGAGGAGTAAGGGGCACAGTAAGGGCTTAGCCTGGGTGGACTCCACTGCCCTGGGACCCCCCGTGCCATGCCAACATGACTCTTACCGCAGTGTCTTGGCGTTGGGCACGGTCCCAGGCCGGTTGATGTCCAGGTCCCTGCGGCTGAATGGGGGAGAAAGAGGGCCAACGTGAGCCCGTGGGCAGATGCTGCCACCGATGCCATAGTGCAAGAGCTGGGGCACCGCCAGCTCCGGGAAGCAGCACCCAGCCCCACTGTCCTGGCACCCTGTGGATGGAGGACCCCACAGCCAACTCTGCCAAGACCTGAGCAGTGCCTGTGCTCTGGGGTGCAGCACCCAGCAGAGCAGGAAGGCTCTCAGTGCCCTGCATGCATGGGACAGCATCTCTGCTCCCTTCCCCAGGCCTGTGCCAGCACCCAGTGCAGGAGGAGACCAGGGATGTGCACCCACGGCCGTGGGCTCTGGGACATGGCCAGGCTCTGGCACAGGTACCACCACTCCCACATCCCTGGCCATCACCGGTGGCCAGCTCTGCGCTGCTGTGTGCCAGTGCCTGAGGGCGATGGCAGCACCCAACAGGGGTCAGGGTTCCCTTGGTGCCCTCGGAGCCACCCACCAGCGCTGCAGCCCCTCGCCCTGGCGCAGACAGGGGGGCAGCCCGCTGGCAGGGCTGCACGGGGTGCTCACCTATTGTACATGTTGAGGAAGAGCTGGAGGTTGAACTGGTTCACCACACTGCCAATCTGCTGCCGGTAACTCTGCACCAGCTCCGTGTTGTTCACCAGCTCTTCCTGTGGCAGGAGGGGATGAAGATGAGGGCAGGCCAGGTGCCGTGGAGACACCCCGCTCCCCCAGGCCTGCACGTGCCGCACTGGCCAGCGGGGCAGAGGGGGAGGATGCTGGCAGGGTGATGCTGCAGGCAGCACGCCCAGGCAGGACACGGGCACGAGTGACACACGTGCCAAGGCTAAGCCCAGGTCAGGCAGGAGGGGTACAGGCAGGGCTCGACTAACACCATCCCTGTGCATGGGGCAGGTCTGGCGGGATGCCGGATAGGGGGTCACCTGGCTGGGATGCCAGATAGGGGGCTGGTGGCAGAGGGTCAGGAGGTTGCCCAACCCTTACCTGGCTGAACAAGTGGGACAGGATGGGGTCTGGCAGTGTGCTGGTGAGGCCAGAGAGCTGTGAAGGGAGCACAGAGCATTACGGTAGGCTCCCCGCCAGGGAGCCACCAGTGCCAGGAGGGGGGGATGGAGGCCCTGCCCACCTTTGCAGCTGCCCAGTCAATCCAGCCTTTGCCGTTGGGGTCGATGTTCATGAGAACCAGTCCTTCAACCAGGTCAGGAAAGATGAGCTGCAGTGAGCAAGAGGGGTGATGCTCAGCAGAGAGGGGAGACAAGCCCAGGGCAGCCCCCCACCAGCACCACTGCCCACTGCCCAGGTGTTGCACAGGGCTGACGTGGCCCCATCATGGGAGCGATGGGAGACCTGTGGCAAGACTGCCTGGCCACCATGGCCATGGCACTGCCATCCCAGCCCCCCCATCCCTCCAGGAGCCTTTGCAGTGGCACAGCCTGACCTGGGGTGTCAGCTCTGGCTCTTCCCCATGCCCTGGGCTGACAGCAGCTATGGGCAACTCAGGGCCAGCCCAGCCCAGCCCCAGGCTCACCGCAAACTTGGCCAGCACGTAGGCTCCTGCCCCAACACCGATCCCAATCACATACTTGAACCTAGAAAGCAGAGAGGTGCATATGGGGGGATGGTGGGCGCCAGCAGGGGTTCCTGGGGCACCCCTCCACCCACAGCATGGCACACAAGAAGACATGCAGGGTGCCAGCTTACAGTGACAACTCCCCCAGCCCCAGACCCTTGCCTCCTGCCCATCTCCCTGCCCAGCACCCACAGCCAGCAGCTGTGGAGGAAAGGCTGACTCACCCGAAATGCTGCACCACGCTGGGTAGCATGGCAGCCAGCTGGTCCATGGATGGGTACTGGTACCTGCGGCACAGGGAGGCACAAGATGGAGTTATGGGACCTGCGCAGAGCGGGAAGGCTGGCAGCTGGGCTGCTCAAAGTGGGCAGGGAAATGCCACCCACCCGCAAACCACCCCATTGTCAGCCCAGGGCCAGCTGACTGCCAGTCATGCCAGTTTGACATGGTTCGGAGAGACCCTCAGGAGGTCACAACTGTCCAGGCGGTGACAACGCAGTGGGCAGCCCCTGAAGCTGGCACCTACCCCTGAGGGAACTGCGAGGCTCCTGCCTGCTGGCCCGGCGCATCCACGTGGCACACCACAAAGTGCTTCGTGATCTCCTGCATGTCCTCATAGTTGAAGAACGTGTTGAAGCAAAGCTTGTCTGTCAAAGGGCAGGCGGCAATCAGAGACACTGGCACAGGGGCCTGGTGGACCAGCGGAGCATGGAGAGAGGTTGCCTGCCTTCCCACTGCCCTTCAACCAGGAGGTGACGTGCCACCGAAGCCCTCCCATCCCCTTCCCTCCAGGCTCCTCGTAGAGCCACTGCAGCAAGGGCTGCATCCTTACTGGTATTGGGAGGCATGGGAATGGACGGACACAGCCAGGAGGATGAGGAGTTTGGGGTGAGCCTCATCTGCTCGGAGGCATGGGACTGTGCGATGCAAAGCCCAGAGCTGCAGAACCACCTGGCAGGCAGTGGGATTAGCAGCCTGGGGTATTATCAGCCCTATCGAAAATCCCAAGAAAGGGCTCATGCAAACATGGGATTTGAGAAACAGCTGCAAATCTCCCTGCTTGGAAACAGTCAAAGAAACAGCCCCAGCTCCGCTGAGGACAGGCCACCACCATTGCAGCAGGATACAGCCATTGCTGGGGCTTGGAAGGGTCCTTCCCCATGGCATTAGTGCCGGGACATCCCTCCCAAAACATGGGGGCAAGGCAGGTTGTAAGGTCCATCGCAACCCACATGACGCATCCCTGGACACAACAGTGCCGCTGTGATGGTGAGGCAGCCCACATGGCGTGCCAGTGACTCAGCCTCAGCTGCCAGCAGAGGGGATGATGCTTCTCCCTGCTCGCAGGGCACAGGGTATCCCAGCTCAGCCGGGGGGTACAGCCTGGGGCAGGGGCCTGGGGTGCGGGTCCAAGGCCGCAGGCTAACAGAGAGCGCAGGATTCCCACGTTCCCAGCCCCAGCTCAAGGCCCTTCCTTCCTTGCCTTTTTTCTGCATCCCCGCCATCTACGCCCTGCCACCAGCCGGGTCCATGTTCTGAATACCAATGGGCTGGTGGTGGCAGCAGCGGCTGACCCGGCATCCCTCACCTCCCATACCCGCTGGGCCAGGGGGGGGCGGCCA